CAACACACAAGCGGTTAGTGCTGTACTAGTAACGCACTGATTGTGATTGTACTCAGTACTCAGATTGTAAATGTTGTAGTGGGTTTACTCTGCAACACACAAGCGGTTAGTGCTGTACTAGTAACGCACTGATTGTGATTGTACTCAGCACTCAGATTGTAAATGTTGTAGTGGGTTTACTCTCCAACACACAAGCAGTTAGTGCTGTACTAGTAACGCACTGATTGTGATTGTACTCAGTACTCAGATTGTAAATGTTGTAGTGGGTTTACTCTCCAACACACAAGCGGTTAGTGCTGTAGTAGTAACGCACCGATTGTGATTCTATTCAGTACTCAGATTGTAAATGTTGTAGTGGGTTTACTCTCCAACACAAGCGGTTAGTGCTGTACTAGTGACGCACTGATTGTGATTATACTCAGTACTCAGATTGTAAATGTTGTAGTGGGTTTACTCTCCAACACAAGCGGTTAGTGCTGTACTAGTGACGCACTGATTGTGATTGTACTCAGTACTCAGATTGTAAATTTTGTAGCGTGTTTACTCTCCAACACACAAGCGGCTAGTGCTGTACTAGTAACGCACTAATTGTGATTGTACTCAGTACTCAGATTGTAAATATTGTAATGGGTTTACTCTCCAACACAAGCGGTTAGTGCTGTACTAGTAACGCACTGATTGTGATTGTACTCAGATTGTAAATGTTGTAGTGGGTTTACTCTCCAACACACAAGCGGTTAGTGCTGTACTAGTAACGCACTGATTGTGATTGTACTCAGCACTCAGATTGTAAATGTTGTAGTGGGTTTACTCTCCAACACACAAGCAGTTAGTGCTGTACTAGTAACGCACTGATTGTGATTGTACTCAGTACTCAGATTGTAAATGTTGTAGTGGGTTTACTCTCCAACACACAAGTGGTTAGTGCTGTAATAGTAATGCACTGATTGTGATTGTACTCACTACTCAGATTGTAAATATTGTAGTTGGTTTACTCTCCAACACACAAGCGGTTAGTGCTGTACTAGTAACGCACTGATTGTGATTGTACTCAGTACTCAGATTGTAAATATTGTAGTGGGTTTACTCTCCAACACACAAGCGGTTAGTGCTGTACTAGTAACGCACTGATTGTGATTGTACTCAATACTCAGATTGTAAATGTTGTAGTGGGTTTACTCTCCAACACACAAGCGGTTAGTGCTGTACTAGTAACGCACTGATTGTGATTGTACTCAGTACTCAGATTGTAAATGTTGTAGCGGGTTTACTCTCCAACACACAAGCGGTTAGTGCTGTACTAGTAACGCACTGAATGTGATTGTACTCAGTACTCAGATTGTAAATGTTGTAGTGGGTTTACTCTCCAACACACAAGCGGCTAGTGCTGTACTAGTAACACACTGATTGTGATTGTACTCAGTACTCAGATTGTAAATGTTGTAGTGGGTTTACTCTCCAACACACAGGCGGTTAGTGCTGTACTAGTAACGCACTGATTGTGTTTGTACTCAGCACTCAGATTGTAAATGTTGTAGTGGGTTTACTCTCCAACACACAAGCGGTTAGTGCTGTACTAGTAACACACTGATTGTGATTGTACTCAGTACTCAGATGTAAATGTTGTAGTGGGTTTACTCTCCAACACACAAGCGGTTAGTGCTGTACTAGTAATGCACTGATTGTGATTGTACTGAGCACTCAGATTGTAAATGTTGTAGTGGGTTTACTCTCCAACACACAAGCAGTTAGTGCTGTACTAGTAACGCACTGATTGTGATTGTACTCAGTACTCAGATTGTAAATGTTGTAGTGGGTTTACTCTCCAACACACAAGCGGTTAGTGCTGTACTAGTAATGCACTGATTGTGATTGTACTCACTACTCAGATTGTAAATATTGTAGTTGGTTTACTCTCCAACACACAAGCGGTTAGTGCTGTACTAGTAACGCACTGATTGTGATTGTACTCAGTGCTCAGATTGTAAATATTGTAGTGGGTTTACTCTCCAACACACAAGCGGTTAGTGCTGTACTAGTAACGCACTGAATGTGATTGTACTCAGTACTCAGATTGTAAATGTTGTAGTGGGTTTACTCTCCAACACACAAGCGGCTAGTGCTGTACTAGTAACACACTGATTGTGATTGTACTCAGTACTCAGATTGTAAATGTTGTAGTGGGTTTACTCTCCAACACACAGGCGGTTAGTGCTGTACTAGTAACGCACTGATTGTGTTTGTACTCAGCACTCAGATTGTAAATGTTGTAGTGGGTTTACTCTCCAACACACAAGCGGTTAGTGCTGTACTAGTAACACACTGATTGTGATTGTACTCAGTACTCAGAGTAAATGTTGTAGTGGGTTTACTCTCCAACACACAAGCGGTTAGTGCTGTAGTAGTAACGCACCGATTGTGATTCTATTCAGTACTCAGATTGTAAATGTTGTAGTGGGTTTACTCTCCAACACAAGCGGTTAGTGCTGTACTAGTGACGCACTGATTGTGATTATACTCAGTACTCAGATTGTAAATGTTGTAGTGGGTTTACTCTCCAACACAAGCGGTTAGTGCTGTACTAGTGACGCACTGATTGTGATTGTACTCAGTACTCAGATTGTAAATGTTGTAGCGGGTTTACTCTCCAACACACAAGCGGCTAGTGCTGTACTAGTAACGCACTAATTGTGATTGTACTCAGTACTCAGATTGTAAATATTGTAATGGGTTTACTCTCCAACACAAGCGGTTAGTGCTGTACTAGTAACGCACTGATTGTGATTGTACTCAGTACTCAGATTGTAAATGTTGTAGTGGGTTTACTCTCCAACACACAAGCGGTTAGTGCTGTACTAGTAACGCACTGATTGTGATTGTACTCAGTACTCAGATTGTAAATGTTGTAGTGGGTTTACTCTCCAACACACAAGCGGTTAGTGCTGTAGTAGTAACGCACCGATTGTGATTCTATTGAGTACTCAGATTGTAAATGTTGTAGTGGGTTTACTCTCCAACACAAGCGGTTAGTGCTGTACTAGTGACGCACTGATTGTGATTATACTCAGTACTCAGATTGTAAATGTTGTAGTGGGTTTACTCTCCAACACAAGCGGTTAGTGCTGTACTAGTGACGCACTGATTGTGATTGTACTCAGTACTCAGATTGTAAATGTTGTAGCGGGTTTACTCTCCAACACACAAGCGGCTAGTGCTGTACTAGTAACGCACTAATTGTGATTGTACTCAGTACTCAGATTGTAAATATTGTAATGGGTTTACTCTCCAACACACAAGCGGTTAGTGCTGTACTAGTAACGCACTGATTGTGATTGTACTCAGTACTCAGATTGTAAATGTTGTAGTGGGTTTACTCTCCAACACACAAGCGGTTAGTGCTGTACTAGTAACGCACTGATTGTGATTGTACTCAGTACTCAGATTGTAAATGTTGTAGTGGGTTTACTCTCCAACACACAAGCGGTTAGTGCTGTACTAGTAACGCACTGATTGTGATTGTACTCAGCACTCAGATTGTAAATGTTGTAGTGGGTTTACTCTCCAACACACAAGCAGTTAGTGCTGTACTAGTAACGCACTGATTGTGATTGTACTCAGTACTCAGATTGTAAATGTTGTAGTGGGTTTACTCTCCAACACACAAGCGGTTAGTGCTGTACTAGTAACGCACTGATTGTGATTGTACTCAATATTCAGATTGTAAATGTTGTAGTGGGTTTACTCTCCAACACACAAGCGGTTAGTGCTGTACTAGTAACGCACTGATTGTGATTGTACTCAGTACTCAGATTGTAAATGTTGTAGCGGGTTTACTCTCCAACACACAAGCGGTTAGTGCTGTACTAGTAACGCACTGAATGTGATTGTACTCAGTACTCAGATTGTAAATGTTGTAGTGGGTTTACTCTCCAACACACAAGCGGCTAGTGCTGTACTAGTAACACACTGATTGTGATTGTACTCAGTACTCAGATTGTAAATGTTGTAGTGGGTTTACTCTCCAACACACAGGCGGTTAGTGCTGTACTAGTAATGCACTGATTGTGTTTGTACTCAGCACTCAGATTGTAAATGTTGTAGTGGGTTTACTCTCCAACACACAAGCGGTTAGTGCTGTACTAGTAACACACTGATTGTGATTGTACTCAGTACTCAGATTGTAAATGTTGTAGTGGGTTTACTCTCCAACACAAGTGGTTAGTGCTGTACTAGTGACGCACTGATTGTGATTATACTCAGTACTCAGATTGTAAATGTTGTAGTGGGTTTACTCTCCAACACAAGCGGTTAGTGCTGTACTAGTGACGCACTGATTGTGATTGTACTCAGTACTCAGATTGTAAATGTTGTAGCGGGTTTACTCTCCAACACACAAGCGGCTAGTGCTGTACTAGTAACGCACTAATTGTGATTGTACTCAGTACTCAGATTGTAAATATTGTAATGGGTTTACTCTCCAACACAAGCGGTTAGTGCTGTACTAGTAACGCACTGATTGTGATTGTACTCAGTACTCAGATTGTAAATGTTGTAGTGGGTTTACTCTCCAACACACAAGCGGTTAGTGCTGTACTAGTAACGCACTGATTGTGATTGTACTCAGTACTCAGATTGTAAATGTTGTAGTGGGTTTACTCTCCAACACACAAGCGGTTAGTGCTGTACTAGTAACGCACTGATTGTGATTGTACTCAGTACTCAGATTGTAAATGTTGTAGTGGGTTTACTCTCCAACACACAAGCGGTTAGTGCTGTACTAGTAACGCACTGATTGTGATTGTACTCAGCACTCAGATTGTAAATGTTGTAGTGGGTTTACTCTCCAACACACAAGCGGTTAGTGCTGTACTAGTAACGCACTGATTGTGATTGTACTCAGTACTCAGATTGTAAATGTTGTAGTGGGTTTACTCTCCAACACACAAGCGGTTAGTGCTGTACTAGTAACGCACTGATTGTGATTGTACTCAGTACTCAGATTGTAAATGTTGTAGTGGGTTTACTCTCCAACACACAAGCGGTTAGTGCTGTCCAACACACCACACCATCGCCCTGCTGCCACTGAAACGTCGGCCACGCGCTGTGACCCCGAGTGGCGGCAGGGGGACGCCACGGAGAGACTTGGAGACTTGGACGAGGCGGCTGGCGGTTCGCGTCAATCGCAAGATGGGTCGACTCTCTCGAAGTGAATGTCTTTAGTTTTATCTTTAAAAAGATTACACAGAAGCCGACTTCTCATTGAACTCTGTTCAACCCTTTAAATCAACAACATTATTTTCCAATTAAAAAAAACGTCATCCGAAAAGCAAACGAGTAGCCTAAAACTGAGACAAGTGAAATGCTTTAAATGCCGGTGTCAAGATAACTTCTTAAATGAACCCTGCGTGTAGTGGTGTATGTGTGTGTTGTCTGTGTGTGTGCGTGTCTGTGTGTGCGTGTCTGTGTGTGTTGTATGTGTGTGTGTGCGTCTGTGTGCGTGTGTGTGCGTGTCTGTCTGTGCGTGTGTGTGCGTGTCTGTGCGTGTGTGTGCGTGTCTGTCTGTGCGTGTGTGTGCGTGTCTGTCTGTGTGTGCGTGTTGTCTGTGTGTGTGCGTTGTCTGTGTGTGTGTTGTCTGTGTGTGTGTTGTCTGTGTTTGTGTGTGTGTCTGTCTGTGTGTGTTGTCTGTGTGTGTCTGTGTTGTGCCGGAGGCCCCGGGGGGCCAGGCGTCTATGACGTCTCCTGGCCAAACCCCAATTGGCGGAGCCAGGAGATTGAATATCCACCCTCGGGGCTTCTCCAGAAACAACGAAAAGCCACTACGGGTGGTCACGTGGAATGTTCGAACGCTCACTGCGGAGGAGAGGCTGCCACTCCTCTGTCGGGAGCTGGACCGGTACCGCCTGGATCTATGCGGCATTCAGGAGGTCCGGTGGATCGGCTCTGGCTCCTGCCACCATGAGGGGTGGACAGTCCTCTACTCGGGGCAGCAGACTGCCAAACAACAGGGTGTGGCTCTTCTCTTGAACAAAAGAATGAAGGGGGCGTGGGAGCGTGGCGGTGAGGTGTGGGAAGCTGTAAGCCCCAGGCTACTTTGGGCTCGCCTTCCCATCAACCGGAGGCGAGGAATGGTGGTCGTGGTTACTTATGCCCCCACCGAAGATGAACATCCGTGGAGGGATGCAGGCAAAGCCGATGAGTCAGATGCCTTCTATGACCTCCTCTCACAGGTGCTGGCTAAAGTGGCCCCTCGGGATAGAGTCATCATGTTGGGTGACTTTAACGCCCGAGTTGGTCATGATACTGGCACCTGGTCTGGAGTGATTGGAGGGCATGGGCCAGATCAGCTCAATAACAACGGTAGGAGGCTGCTAGATTTTTTGTGCAGCCCATGGGCTTGTAATTACCAACACGCTGTTCCGGCATCGGCGCATCCACACAACATCATGGATGCATGCCGGGTCCAAGCAAGAACATCTGCTGGACTACATAGTGACGGACCAGCGGATGCGAGCCTATGTGCTTGACACCAGGACCTACCGTGGAGCTGATCTGCCCACTGACCATCGACTAGTCATCTGTAAGATGCGCCTGCCATTCTTCCACTCCGGTGGTGGGTGTACACCCAGGACCCCATTCCGACCTAAAGTGGCCTGGTCTCAGTTATCTGATGAAAGTTGCAAGCGAGAATTTCATCATCGCTTGCGGCTGGGATTGGCATCGTCCCCGACTCCTCCTGATGTCGAGGGTAAATGGGCGAGGTTTAGGACTGTGACTCATGCAGCTGCAATGGCTGCTCTGGGTACGCGGTCCAGACCTCCCCAGACACCCTGGCTGACAGAGGTGTTCAGGATGGTTGAGAAAAAGCGACAGGCCCACTGTCATCGGCTACAGAATCCCACGTCAGAGAATTAGGAGGCTTACCGCAGCCGTCGCTCGGAGGTTCGGAGAGCCGTGAGGCGCTGCAAGGATGGGTGGTGGTCGCGGGTTGCTGAGAAGATGGAGTCTGCCTCAGTGGCCCGTGATCACAAATCTCTATTTAACTCCATCAAAAAAGTAACCTGCAGCGCCACACCTATTACCATCATTAGGGGAAAAAACGGCGATCCAATCTCCGACCCCCAGGAACAGGTTTGCAGATTTGCTGAGCATTTCTGTGAGGTCCTGGGGGAGGGAAAATCCATCGGCCAGGAAAACATCGTGGCACAAAGTGAGGATGACCCTGCTGAGGCTGCGGTGCCTCAAATATTGGAAGAAGTCACCCCCTGTGAGTGGCTGGCTGAGGTGCCATCTGTTGAGGAAGTACTGAAGGTGATCCGGAGTCTGAGACCAGGAAAGGCAGCGGGCAGAGATGATCTCCCAAGCGAAATGCTGAGGGAGGGTGGCGTTTGTGCACAGACTGCCCTATATGACATCATAACAACGGTCTGGGCCACTGGACGGGTTCCGCAGGATTGGAAGGATGCCCTGGTGGTCCCCCTCTTTAAGGGGGACCGCACAGACTGTAACAACTACAGGGGCATCTCACTCCTCAGTGTGCCGGGAAAGGTCCTGGCAAGGATTATTCAGCATCGCCTTGCCCGGCACGCCGAGGAGAGGCTTGCGGAGCCCCAATGCGGTTTCAGGAAAGGGCGGTCCTGCACAGATGCCATATTTTCTGTCCGTCTGCTACAGCAGAGGTGTAGGGAATTCCAACAAGACCTACATCTCTGCTTTATTGACCTGGTCAAGGCCTATGATACCATCAGTAGGCCTGGGCTCTGGGTCGTTCTTCGTGCTTTTGGAGTACCTGACCCTCTGCTCACGATCATTAAGGACCTTCATGATGGTGAGCGGGCCCAGGTAAAACTACGTAGCCGGGAGTCAGAGCCATTCCCTGTACACCTTGGGGTGCGACAGGGATGTCCTCTGGCTCCCACATTATTTAAGATCTATTTTGACCACGTAGTTCGTGAAGCCTTCAATAGCTGTACCGGGGGAATCTCCATATGGTACAGATATAATGGGAGGCTGATCGATGCCCGGGTGCGGTCAAGGGATGGCTCCCTATTGGTCAACCACGTTATGTATGCTGATGATTTGGTAATAGCTGCTCAGTCAGAGGAGGAGACGCTGCTGCTGAGACTGGAGCGTGCCACTAAGAGGTGGGGCCTTACCATCAGCCCCACCAAAACTAAGCACCTGCCTGGGTATTTTGTACCATCAGACACTCCACCCCCACAACTCCCAATCGGTGATGGGGCAGTTGTGGAGAGAGTGGAGAGTTTCCCATACCTGGGCAGTGTGCTTATGACTGGCTCCAGTTTAACAGCAGAGGTCTCACTCCGAATCAGTTGAGCAGCAATATCTTTTCATCGGTTGAGTAACGCTGTGTGGAAGCTACCTGGTCTGTCGCTCCGCACTAAGCTTCAGGTCTTCTCGGCCACGGTCATTCCCTCCCTTCTCTACGCTTGCGAAACGTGGACCCCCCTAATGGAACATCTTCGCTGGTTAGAAACATTTAGGCTGGCCTGCCTCCGATCCATCCTGGGTTTAACCAGACTGGATTGTGTGAGGAGCTCACAAATCCTTGAAAGATCTGGGCAAGGTCCCATCGGTGAGCTCCTCCGGCGGGCAAGGCTGCGATGGCTGGGTCATGTAGCCCGCATGCCCAGCCAACGCATGCCGAAACAGCTTTTGTTCGGCCGGATTGAGGGGGCTAAGCGGGCGCGGCACGGGCTAGAGAAGAGATGCAGTGATGTGGTACAGGAGGACGTGGAGCTGAGTGGACTTGCCGATGACTGGTACCAGCGGTGTCAAGATCGGCCTCTGTGGAGGAGGCTCTTGAAGGATGCTACTGGGCAGTTGGAGGTAGTCGCCCTCCAACAACAACGGAGGGCGGAGGAGCGACGCTCACAACAACGAGCGGAGCGCCGGGTGGCTAAAGCACAGCAGGTTGGCACAGTAGGGGGCACAGGTGGTGCATCAGCCAGTCACCGCCACTTAGTGGCGAATGGCGGTTGTTGTTGTTGTCTGTGTGTGTGTCTGTGTGTTGTCTGTGTGTGCGTGTTGTGTGTGTGCGTGTCTGTGTGTGTTGTGTGTGTGTGTTGTCTGTGTGTGTGTGCGTGTCTGTGTGTGTGTTGTCTGTGGTGTCTGTGTGTTTGTGTGTGCGTGTCTGTGTGTTTGTGAGTGTGTGCGTGTCTGTGTGTGTGTTGTCTGTGGTGTCTGTGTGTTTGTGTGTGCGTGTCTGTGTGTGACCCCCCCAGTGTCGGAATGACCCCCCCAGTGTCTGAGTGACCCCCCAGTGTCTGAGTGACCCCCCAGTGTCTGAGTGACCCCTCAGTGTCTGAGTGACCCCCCAGTGTCTGAGTGACCCCCCAGTGTCTGAGTGACCCCCCCAGTGTCTGAGTGACCCCCCCCCCAGTGTCTGAGTGACCCCTCAGTGTCTGAGTGACCCCCCAGTGTCTGAGTGACCCCCCCCCAGTGTCTGAGTGACCCCCCAGTGTCTGAGTGACCCCCCAGTGTCTGAGTGACCCCCCCCACAGTGTCTGAGTGACCCCCCCAGTGTCTGAGTGACCCCCCAGTGTCTGAGTGACCCCCCCCCCAGTGTCTGATTGACCCCTCAATGTCTGAGAGACCCCCCCAGTGTCTGAGTGACCCCTCAGTGTCTGAGAGACCCCCCCAGTGTCTGAGTGACCCCTCAGTGTCCGAGAGACCCCCCCCGTGTCTGAGTGACCCCCCCCAGTGTCTGAGTGACCCCCCCAGTGTCTGAGTGACCCCCCCAGTGTCTGAGTGACCCCCCCAGTGTCTGAGTGACCCCCCCCCGTGTCTGAGTGACCCCCCCAGTGTCTGAGAGACCCCCCCAGTGTCTGAGTGACCCCCCAGTGTCTGAGTGACCCCCCCAGTGTCTGAGTGACCCCCCCCAGTGTCTGAGTGACCCCCCCCAGTGTCTGAGTGACCCCCCCAGTGTCTGAGTGACCCCCCCCAGTGTCTGAGTGACCCCTCAGTGTCTGAGTGACCCCCCCAGTGTCTGAGTGACCCCCCCCCAGTGTCTGAGTGACCCCCCCAGTGTCTGAGTGACCCCCCCCAGTGTCTGAGTGACCCCTCAGTGTCTGAATGACCCCCCCAGTGTCTGAGTGACCCCCCCCCCCCAGTGTCTGAGTGACCCCCCAGTGTCTGAGTGACCCCCCCCAGTGTCTGAGTGACCCCTCAGTGTCTGAGTGACCCCCCCAGTGTCTGAGTGACCCCCCCCCCCCAGTGTCTGAGTGACCCCCCCAGTGTCTGAGTGACCCCCCCCCGTGTCTGAGTGACCCCCCCAGTGTCTGAGTGACCCCCCCAGTGTCTGAGTGACCCCCCAGTGTCTGAGTGACCCCCCTCCCCCAGTGTCTGAGTGACCCCCCAGTGTCTGAGTGACCCCCCCAGTGTCTGAGTGACCCCCCCCCCCCCCCAGTGTCTGAGTGACCCCCCCAGTGTCTGAGTGACCCCCCCCGTGTCTGAGTGACCCCCCCAGTGTCTGAGTGACCCCCCCAGTGTCTGAGTGACCCCCCCAGTGTCTGAGACCCCCCCAGTGTCTGAGTGACCCCCCCAGTGTCTGAGTGACCCCCCCCCCCCCAGTGTCTGAGTGACCCCCCCCCCCCAGTGTCTGAGTGACCCCCCCAGTGTCTGAGTGACCCCCTCAGTGTCTGAGTGACCCCTTAGTGTCTGAGAGACCCCCCCAGTGTCTGAGTGACCCCCCCCCCAGTGTCTGAGTGACCCCCCCCCCAGTGTCTGAGTGACCCCCCCAGTGTCTGAGTGACCCCCCCAGTGTCTGAGTGACCCCCCCCCCCCCCCAGTGTCTGAGTGACCCCCCCAGTGTCTGAGTGACCCCCCCCCCCCAATGTCTGAGTGACCCCCCCAGTGTCTGAGTGACCCCCCCAGTGTCTGAGTGACCCCCCCAGTGTCTGAGTGACCCCCCCCCCCCAGTGTCTGAGTGACCCCCCCAGTGTCTGAGTGACCTCTCAGTAACGCTCCCCCTCGTCCCCCTCGTCCCCCTCGTCAGCGTCATCGTCAGCGTGGTCTCGCTGCGTGCGTGGGTGGTGCTGAGCCAGCGATGCCCAGCGAGGCCGTGGGGAGCTCTTGGCCAGCGTCACCTCCACCTTGGACGCCGCCATCGCCACCGAGCTGCCCGCAGGGTCGATCACCTGCGCGACCCGCCAACCCCCACACACACACACACTACGTACACAGTACACACACACACTACACACACACTACATACACACTACACACACTACACACACACACTACACACACTACACAGACACACTACACACACACACTACATACACACACACTACATACACACACACTACATACTAAATACACTACACACATACACTACATACACATTACACACTACATACACACACTACACACACTACATACACTACACCTACACACACTACACACTACATACACTACACACACTACACACACACCACATACACACTACACATGCTACACACTACATACACACTACACGCACACTACACACACTACAACAACAACAAACGCCATTCACCACTAAGTGGCGGTGACGTCACCACGATGCTTGTGCCAGGCTATGTGCACCCTGAGGCCACGGGAAGTGTCGAACGATCGCTGGCAGGAGGTCACGGGGCAGACCCAGGTGCCACGGGTCGACTGAGATGACTGGCTGATGCACCACCTGTGCCCCCTACTGTGCCAACCTGCTGTGCTTTAGCCACCCGGCGCTCCGCTCGTTGTTGTGAGCGTCGCTCCTCCGCCCTCCGTTGTTGTTGGAGGGCGACTACCTCCAACTGCCCAGTAGCGTCCTTCACGAGCCTCCTCCACAGAGGCCGATCTTGACACCGCTGGTACCAGTCATCGGCAAGTCCACTCAGCTCCACGTCCTCCTGTACCACATCACTCCATCTCTTCTCTAGCCCATGCCGCGCCCGTTTAGCCCCCTCAATCCGGCCGAACAAAAGCTGTTTCGGCATGCGGTGGCTGGGCATGCGGGCTACATGACCCAGCCATCGCAGCCTTGCCCGCCGGAGGAGCTCACCGATGGGACCTTGCCCAGATATTTCAAAGATTTGTGAGCTCCTCACACAATCCAGTCTGGTTAAACCCAGGATGGATCGTAGGCAGGCCAGCCTAAATGTTTCTAACCGGCGAAGATGTTCCATTAGGGGAGTCCACGTTTCGCAAGCGTAGAGAAGGGAGGGAATGACCGTGGCCGAGAAGACCTGAAGCTTAGTGCGGAGCGACAGACCAGGTAGCTTCCACACAGCGTTACGCAACCGATGAAAAGATATTGCCGCTCGACTGGTTCGGAGTTAGACCTCTGCTGTTAAACTGGAGCCGGTCATAAGCACACTGCCCAGGTATGGGAAACTCTCCACTCGTTCCACAACTGCCCCATTACCGATTGGGAGTTGTGGGGGTGGAGTGTCCGATGGTACAAAATACCCAGGCAGGTGCTTAGTTTTGGTGGGGCTGATGGTAAGGCCCCACCTCTTAGTGGCACGCTCCAGTCTCAGCAGCAGCGTCTCCAACTCCTCCTCTGAATGAGCAGCTATTACCAAATCATCAGCATACATAACGTGGTTGAGCAATAGGGAGCCATCCCTTGACCGCACCTGGGCATCGATCAGCCTCCCATTATATCTGTACCATATGGAGATTCCCCCGGTACAGCTATTGAAGGCTTCACGAACTATGTGGTCAAAATAGATGTTAAATAATGTGGGAGCCAGAGGACATCCCTGTCGCACCCCAAGGTATACAGGGAATGGCTCTGACTCCCGGCCACGTAGTTTTACCCGGGCCCGCTCACCATCATGAAGGTCCTTAATGATCGTGAGCAGAGGGTCAGGTACTCCAAAAGCAGAAGAACAACCCAGAGCCCAAGCCTACTGATGGTATCATAGGCCTTGACCAGGTCAATAAAGCAGAGATGTAGGTCTTGTTGGAATTCCCTACACCTCTGCTGTAGCAGACGGACAGAAAATATGGCATCTGTGCAGGACGGCCCTTTCCTGAAACCGCATTGGGGCTCCGCAAGCCTCTCCTCAGCATGCCTTGCAAGGTGATGTTGAATAATCCTTGCCAGGACCTTTCCCGGCACACTGAGGAGTGAGATGCCCCTGTAGTTGTTACAGTCTGTGCGGTCCCCCTTCTTAAAAAGGGGGACCACCAGGGCATCCTTCCAATCCTGCAGAACCCGTCCAGTGGTCCAGACTGTTGTTATGATGTCATATAGGGCAGTCTGTGCACAAACGCCACCCTCCCTCAGCATTTCGCTTGGCAGATCATCTCTGCCCGCTGCCTTTCCTGGTCTCAGACTCCAGATCGCCTTCAGTACTTCCTCAACAGATGGCACCTCAGCCAGCCACTCACAGGGGGTGACTTCTTCCAATATTTGAGGCACCGCAGCCTCAGCAGGGTTATCCTCACTTTGTGCCACGATGTTTTCCTGGCCGATGGATTTTCCCTCCCCCAGGACCTCACAGAAATGCTCAGCAAATCTGCAAACCTGTTCCTGGGGGTCGGAGATTGGATCACCGTTTTTTCCCCTAATGATGGTAATAGGTGTGGCGCTGCAGGTTACTTTTTTGATGGAGTTAAATAGAGATTTGTGATCGCGGGCCACTGAGGCAGACTCCATCTCCTCAGCAACCCGCGGCCACCACCCATCCTTGCAGTGCCACACGGCTCTCCGAACCTCCGAGCGAAGGCTGCGGTAAGCCTCCTCATTCTCTGACGTGGGATTCTGTAGCCGATGACAGTGGGCCTGTCGCTTTTTCTCAACCATCCTGAACACCTCCTCTGTCAGCCAGGGTCTCTGGGGAGGTCTGGACCGCGTACCCAAAGCAGCCATTGCAGCTGCATGAGTCACAATCCTAAACCTCGCCCATTTACCCTCGACATCAGGAGGAGTCGGGGACGATGCCAATCCCAGCCGCAAGCGATGATGAAATTCTCGCTTGCAACTTTCATCAGATAACTGAGACCAGGCCACTTTAGGTTGGAATGGGGTCCTGGGTGTACACCCACCACCGGAGTGGAAGAATGGCAGGCGCATCTTACAGATGACTAGTCGATGGTCAGAGGGCAGATCAGCTCCACGGTAGGTCCTGGTGTCAAGGACATGGGCTCGCATCCGCTGGTCCGTCACTATGTAGTCCAGCAGATGTTCTTGCTTGGACCCGGCATGCATCCATGATGTTGTGTGGATGCGCCGATGCCGGAACAGCGTGTTGGTAATTACAAGCCCATGGGCTGCACAAAAATCTAGCAGCCTCCTACCGTTGTTATTGAGCTTATCTGGCCCATGCCCTCCAATCACTCCAGACCAGGTGCCAGCATCATGACCAACTCGGGCATTGAAGTCGCCCAACATGATGACTATCCCGAGGGGCCACTTTAGCCAGCACCTGTGACAGGAGGTCATAGAAGGCATCTGACTCATCGGCTTTGCCTGCATCCCTCCACGGATGTTCATCTTCGGTGGGGGCATAAGTAACCACGACCACCATTCCTCGCCTCCGGTTGATGGGAAGGCGAGCCCAAAGTAGCCTGGGGCTTACAGCTTCCCACACCTCACCGCCACGCTCCCACGCCCCCTTCATTCTTTTGTTCAAAAGAAGAGCCACACCCTGTTGTTTGGCAGTCTGCTGCCCCGAGTAGAAGACTGTCCACCCCTCATGGTGGCAGGAACCAGAACCGGTCCACCGGACCTCCTGAATGCCACATAGATCCAGGCGGTACCGGTCCAGCTCCCGACAGAGGAGTGGCAGCCTCTCCTCCGCAGTGAGCGTTCGAACATTCCACGTGGCCACCCGTAGTGGTTTTTCGTTGTTTCTGGAGGAGCCCCGAGGGTAGATATTCAATCTCCTGGCTCCGCCAATTGGGGTTTGGCCAGGAGACGTCATATACGCCTGTCCCCTCGGGGCCTCCGGCACAAGCTTATTAGTTAAATATTGTATTCATAGTTTAGTGGTAATTAATTGAAGGAGGAGGGGTTACCAGCCCCTCGTACCCGTCCAGAGCCGCCGTTTAGCCACTGTCGTGGACACAGACGCCATGAGGGGAGGAGCCAATCGGAATTGGACCTCCCCCCACAGTAATGTCCACGACAGTGTTGCCCATCCGGCACCGCGAGGAGGTAGGGGGTTGTTTTGCCACACTACATATACACACACACACACTACACACACACTACACACACTACATACACTACACACACACTACACACACTACATACACTACATACACACACTACACACACTACATACACTACATACACACACTACATACACTACATACACACTACACACACACTACACTCACTGTACACACTACACACACTACACCACACACACACTGTACACACTACACACACTACACCACACACACACACTACACTAAACACACTACACACACTACAGTACACGCACACTACACACACTGTACACACACTGTACACACTTCGCTAGGAGCGAGCGTCGTCACACGGTGGTGGGTGCAACCTGCTACCTCTGGGAGCTGTGACCTCCTGTGACCTCTGGGAGCTGTGACCTCTGGGAGCTGTGACCTCCTGTGAACTCTGGGAGCTGTGACCTCTATGAATCCTCTGTGACCTGTGGCCTCTGTGAGCTACAATCTCTCCGTGACCTCTGCGACCTCTCTGTGACCTCTCACCCCAAAGAGGTCGACGTCCAGGTTGAACTCCTTGTCTCCCTCAAACTCCACTCTCACGATCAGCTGTGAGACAAACACAGTGAGTACACACACAGTGAGTACAGACACAGTGAGTACACACACACAGTGAGTACACACACAGTGAGTACACACACAGTGAGTACACACACAGAGTGAGTACACACACACAGTGAGTACACACAGAGAGTGAGTACACACAGAGAGTGAGTACACACACACAGTGAGTACACACACCCACAGTGAGTACACACACCCACAGTGAGTACACACAGTGAGTACACACACACAGTGAGTACACACACAGTGAGTACACAGTGAGTACACACACACAGTGAGTACACACACACAGTGAGTACACACACACAGTGAGTACACACACACACAGTGAGTACACACACACACAGTGAGTACACACACAAAGTGAGTACACACACCCACAGTGAGTACACACAGTGAGTACACACACACAGTGAGTACACACACAGTGAGTACACACACACAGTGAGTACACACACCCACAGTGAGTACACACACCCACAGTGAGTACACACACCCACAGTGAGTACACACAGTGAGTACACACACAGTGAGTACACACACACACACAGTGAGTACACACAGTGAGTACACACACACACACAGTGAGTACACACAGTGAGTACACACACACAGTGAGTACACACACACAGTGAGTGGTGAGCGTGGGGTGAGCTTGTGGTGAGCTTGTGGTGAGTGTGTGGTGAGTGTGTGGTGAGCGTGCGGTGTGTGGTGAGTGTGTGGTGAGCGTGCGGTGTGTGGTGAGCGTGGGGTGAGCTTGTGGTGAGCTTGTGGTGAGTGTATGGTGAGTGTGCGGTGAGCGTGCGGTGAGTGTATGGTGAGCATGCGGTGAGCGTGTGGTGAGCGTGCGGTGAGTGTATTGTGAGCGTGCGGTGAGCGTGCGGTGAGCGTGCGGTGAGCGTGTGGTGAGCTTATGGTGAGTGTGTGGTGAGCGTGTGGGGTGTGGTGAGTGTATGGTGAGTGTGTGGTGAGCGTGTGGTGAGCGTGTGGTGAGCGTGCGGTGAGTGTGCGGTGAGCGTGTGGTGAGCGTGTGGTGAGCGTGTGGTGAGTGTGTGGTCAGTGTGTGGTGACAATGTGGTGAGTGTGCGGTGAGCGTGTGGTGAGCGTGCGGAGAGTGTATGGTGAGTGTGTGGTGAGTGTGTGGTGAGCGTGTGGTGAGTGTGTGGTGAGTGTGTGGTGAGTGTGTGGTGAGCGTGTGGTCAGCGTGTGGTGAGCGTGTGGTGAGCGTGTGGTGAGCGTATGGTGAGCGTATGGTGAGTGTGTGGTGAGTGTGTGGTGAGTGTGTGGTGAGTGTGTGGTGAGCGTGTGGTGAGCATGTGGTGAGCGTGCCCGTACGTGGGTGCGGTTGGCGAGGACGTGCGTGGCATGGGGGTTGCCGTGCCGTGCGTAGACCGTCACCACCACCTGCGTCGCCGTCTGGTGCCAGTCGTAGCGGCACGGCACGGCCTTGCGGCACTGGGACACACACAGACACACACACAGATACACACACACAGACACACACAGACACACACGCACACACAGACACACACACAGACACACACAGACACACACAGACACACACACACACAGACACACACACACAGACACACACACATACACAGACACACACGCACACACACAGACACACACAGACACAGAGACTTAACCGCAGCACCATCACCACTACTACAGAGACTCCTCTACTCACGAACGAGTTAGGTTCCAGAGGTTCTGTGTTCGTAAGTCCAACTTTACTCCTCTTGTACGGCGTGTACACGAATAACGGCGCATGTTTTTAAAAGTTGGATAATCTCCTGCAGATGTAGATGCCACTGGTTCTTCACGTTCTGCAGATGTAGATGCCGCTGGTTCTTCACATTCTGCAGATGTAGATGCCACTGGTTCTTCACGTTCTGCAGATGTAGATACCGCTGGTTCTTCACATTCTGCAGATAAAGATGCCACTGGTTCTTCACGTTCTGCAGATGTAGATGCCACTGGTTCTTCACGTTCTGCAGATGTAGATGCCACTGGTTCTTCACGTTCTGCAGATGTAGATGCCACTGGTTCTTCACGTTCTGCAGATGCCACTGGTTCTTCACATTCTGCAGACGTAGATGCCACTGGTTCTTCACGTTCTGTAGATGTAGATGCCACTGGTTCTTTACGTTCTGCAGATGTAGATGCCGCTGGTTCTTCACGTTCTGTAGATGTAGATGCCACTGGTTCTTCACGTTCTACAGATGTAGATGCCGCTGGTTCTTCATGGTCAGCAGATTTAGATGCCACTGGTGCTTCACGATCTGCAGATGTAGATGCCACTGGTTCTTCACGTTCTACAGATGTAGATGCCACTGGCTCTTCACCTTCTGCAGATTTAGATGTCACTGGTTCTTCACGTTCTGCAGATGTATATGCCGCTGGTTCTTTTAAGTTCTGTAGATGTAGATGCCACTGGTTCTTCACGTTCTGCAGATGTAGATGCCACTGGTTCTTCACGTTCTAAAGACGTAGATGCCACTGGTTCTTCACATTCTACAGATGTAGATGCCACTGATTATTCACATTCTGTAGATGTAGATGCCACTGGTTCTTCACGTTCTGCAGATGTAGATGCCACTGGTTCTTCACGTTCTACAGATGTAGATGCCACTGGTTCTTCACGTTCTACAGATGTAGATGCCACTGGTTCTTCACCTTTTGCAGATTTAGATGCCACTGGCTCCTCACGTTCTGCAGATGTAGATGCCACTGGTTTTTCAGTTCTGCAGATGTAGATGCCACTGGTTCTACACGTTCTGCAGATGTAGATGCCGCTGGTTCTTCACATTCTGCAGATGTAGATGCCACTGGTTCTTCACGTTCTGCAGATGTAGATGCCACTGGTTCTTCACGTTCTGCAGCTGTAGATGCCGCTGGTTCTTCATGTTCTGCAGATGTAGACGCCACTGGTTCTACACGTTCTAAAGATGTAGATGCCACTCGTTCTTCACGTTCTGCAGATGTAGATGCCACTAGTTCTTCATGTTCTGCAGATTTATATGCCACTGGTTCTTTTAAGTTCTGCAGATGTAGATGCCACTGGTTATTCACATTCTGCAGATGTAGATGCCACTGGTTCTTCACGTTCTACAGATGTAGATGCCACTGGTTCTTCACGTTCGGCAGATGTAGATGCCACTGGTTCTTCACGTTCTGTAGATGAAGATGCCACTGGTTCTTCACGTCCTGTAGATGTAGATGCCACCACCACCATCTATTGCGCTGCGGATGAACTTACGACTCGACATACAGACTGGCTTTTATCGTATCGCAAAGTTCGTGAGTCGAACGTTCGTAAGTCGAGGAGTGTCTGTGCTCACTTTGCTCACACACTCCCATGCACTCAACAACAACAACAGCCAGCAAGGCCACCAGCGAGAACGGAACTCGGGTCGACAATTGTGCAGGGCGCGTGGCGCTGGTGCCACCGCTCCTTCCCGCGTGCTCACACAACAACAACAACCGCTACATACCTCCGCCTTGACCCAGACGTGAGTGGCGCGGTGGCAGCCGGGCTGCGACAGGAAGGTGTTGAAGTCACTCGTTTTGCGACGGCAGCACGACCAGAACTTCACCCTGCAAAGGACAGAAAGAGTCTGAACCATCCTCAACCCCCCCTCACCTCTTCCTGTCCTCTTCTTCTTCTTCGTATTTGGTATGGCCAGGAGATGTTAACTACCTCGCCTGGTGTGCAGGAGGTCGTGGGTTCGATCCCAACCCTGACGATGCCTGCTGCTGTATATTTGGAGTCTGCGTCTCTCTCACTCATCATCATCACGGTGGCTAGGAGATGTTAACTACCTCGCCTGGTGTACAGGAGGTCGTGGGTTCGATCCCGACCCTGACGATGCCTGCTGCTGTAGATTTGGAGTCTGTGTCTCTCTCTCACTCTCGCCGAGGTCGCGTGGATTTTTCTCCAGGTCCTCCGGTTTTCCCCTCCACATTTAGAACCAACGTGCTGCGTTTAAAGAATTTGGCGACTGCTGTACATTAAAACCTGATGATGTTGATGATGAAAAGCCACTTTGTTGAGCTATCATTTGTGCAGAGGCGCCTAGCAGCTCAGTGGGGCCTTACACCTGGCAACGTAGTTTAGCTTGACACATAACAGGCTTTCGCAAACAATATTATTCATATTTTGATTTAAAGCTTTCGTGACTGCAGGGATTCATATTCTTGGTTCTTTCGGTAAAGTCACCACGTAGAAGGGAAATAATAAAATAAAAATATAAACCAATAAAATTATCACGACGTTTCGACTGCAACACAAGCAATCATCATTAGCTGTGAAAACCACAGCAAGAAGATTTAAAAAAGTGGCGTTTTTTTCTTAATGGTAGCACCATGGACAGCGGACTAAGTGGTTGTTCAGACGGACGAGTCCATCTATGCTCGGAACGGAGGAGGGGGGAGAGGAAGAGAATGGAATGCGGTTTGAAAGTCACCGTAAGCGTGAACAAAATAAATCAAGACCCGAAATGCTTTATCAAATCTTTCCAATGATTGCTAAGCCAGAATCCATCTTCATTCATGAGGCTATCCACAAATACGGAGACAATTTCAACCGAGAAGATGGATTCTGGCTTAGCAATCATTGGAAGGATTGCATAAACCATTTTGTATCTTGATTGTGTTCACGCTTACGGTGACTTTCAGACCGCATTACATTCTCTTCCTCTCCCCCCTCCTCCGTTCCGAGCATAGATGGACTCGTCCGTCTGAACAACCGCCAGTCGCTGTCCGTGGTGCTAACGTTAAGAAAAAAACGCCACTTTTTAAAAATCTTCTTGCTGTGGTTTTCACAGCTGATGACGATTGCTCATGTTGCAGTCGAAACGTCGTGATAATTTTATTGCTTTATATTTTTATTATTTTATTATTTCCCTTCTACGTGGTGACTTTACCGAAAGAACCAAGACTAATATTCCATTGGAAACCTCATTTGCCAGTAACAAAATATGATAATTGGTTTTTTACCTGTTTAAATGGCAACAAAACTGACACCTTTTTTACAAGAAGTCATGTTTACATTGACCACCATACTTGCGGTCGGAACGCAAACAAAAAACAACAACTCTGATAATGTATGCACTGTCCTTGAAATTGATTGGTCCACACCCGAGACAGCTTTCTTTAGAGCCTCGTCTCACATGGTGTTGGACCAGAAGACGCCAAAAGGCGCACAACTCAAAGGCAATGCACCATCAGAGTATGAGAGCTCGGGGTAAGCATTTACACCATTGGAAACCTCATTTTCCAGTAACAAAATATGATAATTGTTTTTTTACTCTTATCTGGCAACAAAACTGACACCTTTTTTACAAGGAGTCATGTTTACATTGACCACAATACCTGCGGTCGGAACGCAAACAAAAAACAACTCTGATAATTTTCGATTTAAAGCTTTCGTGACTGCAGTAATTCATATTCTTAGCGCTTTCGGTAAAGTCACGTTGAAGGGAAACAATAAAATAATAAAATATATAAAACAATAAAAATTTCTCATGACGTTTCGACCATAACACAACGGTCGTCATCAGGTGTGTCGGTTTGCATTAATTTACTTATTTTTAAAGGTGCATCTGGCGATTTATTTATTTATTTTAAAATACGTCAGCGCCACGCGCAGCGATTTGGCAGTTCATTTAGAAGATCCTTCAACAAACTCCGGGATAAGAAGGCTCAGCTGATCGAGTCTCTCACCTTTCTGAAGAGATGCCGCGACTCTGGGGTAATACCAATCGCATTTACACTGACCTCTGCTGCTGTAACTTCTTCTAATGCGAAACGAATTCTTTTCAAAACTAGCTTAGCTCTTTCTCAGAAAAAATCAGACTTATACGCACCGAACTAGATCAGTTAGACAAGACACTCTACAAATCACACTTATCATTGACGGCAACAATGTCCACATCGGATTGGGAACATGTAGACAATATGACTGCCTCTTCAGCTGCTACTATGTCGACCAAATGTAAGGACAACCTGATTTCCAAATTTAACCTCCCCTTCAACAAAAGACCGGACCCACACACCAAAAAGTTAGATGCTAACAAAGTCGTAATTAATCGCAGTAACAGTTCTATTTCTGATGGTCTGAAATCCGTTTTAGCTAAAGGTCTAAACTTTGCAGTCACAACTAAACACATGCCAGTTAATGATATAATTGCCCAAGTAGACGTTGCTCTCAGGGGCCTGGGTCACATCGCTGCAGACGTAGCAAGATCTGATATCGCTGCAACCCTCAAAAATGCTAAGATGCCAGCTAGCAACCTCAGCAAAGATGAGCGTTTTGAATTATATAAATTAAAAAAGAGGGATGACATTGTAGTTCTCTCAGCTGACAAGGGCAATGCTACTGTCATCATGGATAAAATAGAATACAACAACAAAATTAAAGAATTACTCGACGTCACACAAACCAACAAAATAATTTCTGATTCAACCGCATTAATTGATCAATCTAAACAGTTTTCATTGAAACCTGCTGCCAGGCCACCAAGATTATACGGCTTACCAAAAATACATGAAGTAGATACACCCCTTCGTCCCATCGTCTCTACTATCAACTCCCCCACCTACAAACTGGCTCGTTTTTTGTCTGAAATCCTGCATCCTTTCACTGGAAAAACCACCTCTGCGGTACAAAATTCTACTCACCTGGTATCGACAATCAAGGGTATTTCCCTGTCCCCAGACGACCTGCTTGTCAGTTTTGATGTAGTTTCCTTATTCACCAAGGTTCCTGTACCTGACACCATCGCAATCATTCAAGACTTGGTTCATCAAGGACTAAACACTGAGGTACCTCTCCTGGTGAGACACTGTTTAACCAATACATACTTCACTTGGAATGGAACTTTCTACAAACTGAGGGCACCCGAATGGGCTCCCCCCTATCTCCGGTTATAGCTAACATTTTCATGGAGAAATTTGAGACTGACGCCATCCAGACTGCCACTCTGCGCCCAACCTTATGGAAGAGGTACGTGGATGACACTTTTGTCATCTGGCCACATGGCCGGCCTGCTCTAGACCAATTCTTCGACCACATCAATTCCATACACCCAGCCATCAGATTTACCATGGAAGTCGAAAAAGATGGCAAGCTACCTTTTTTGGATGTCCTAGTTAAAAAGAGACCTGATGGTTCAATGAGCCACTCTGTCTACAGGAAAGCTACCCATACGGATGCTTATCTGAAACCGGATTCCCACCACCATCCATCACAGAAGAACTCTCTCATCAAGACTCTGTATCATAGAGCCCAATGCATATCCGACCAGGAACACATAGGCAGTGAACTCAAGCACGTACACCAAGCTCTTAAGGCTAATGGTTACTCCGACTATACAATCCGCAAAGCTATCACTCAAACCATGAAGAAGGACCCTCTTGAGGAGCCTTTCAAAACCATCACTTTACCCTACATTGCGGGGATCACAAAAAAGATCTCCAAAATCTTGAATAAACACAAGATCCAGGTCCGTTTCAACATATTACATAAAATCCGTGATCTGGTTCCGTCTGTAAAAGATGTGATTCCGGACATACAGTAAGTTGCCTCTGGAGTAGTAGTTACATCGGAGAAACCAAACGCCATGTCTTGGACCGCATCCGTGAACACAAAGCAGACCTTAAAACATGGTAGGACCAACACCTCGGCCGTGGCAGATCATTGTTATAATTCAGTAGGCTTACATGACATTGACTTTTCCAAGACAGAGGTTCTTTGTAAGCCATCTGGCTACCATGAGAGATTCGTTCATGAGGCTATCCACATATACAAGCACAGAAACAATTTCAACCGAGAAGATGGATTCTGGCTTAGCAATCATTGGAAAGATTTGATAAACCATTTCAGGTCTTAATTAATTGTTCACGCTTATAGTGGCTTTCAGACAGCATACATTAATTTTTCGTCTCCCCCCTCCTCTTTTCAGAACATAGATGGACTAGTCCTTCTAAATAAATTGCTAAATCGCTGCGCGTGGCGCTGACGTTTTTTTTTATAAATACACTGTTTAAAAATAAATAAATTTATGCAAACCGACACACCTGATGACGACCGTTTGTGTTATGGTCGAAACGTCGTGAGAATTTTTATTGTTTTATATATATATTTTATTATTTTATTGTTTCCCTTCAACGTGACTTTACCGAAAGAGCTAAGAACATAGTGCATACATTATCAGAGTTGTTTTTTGTTTACGTTCCCACCGCAGGTATTGTGGTCAATGTAAACATGACTCCTTGTAAAAAAGGTGTCAGTTTTGTTGCCAGATAAAAGGGTAAAAAAACAATTATCATATTTTGTTACTGGCAAATGAGGTTTCCAATGGTGTAAATGCTTACCCCGAGCTCTCATACTCTGATGGTGCATTGCCTTTGAGTTGTGCGCCTTTTGGCGTCTTCTGGTCCAACACCATGTGAGACGAGGCTCTAAAGAAAGCTGTCTCGGGTGTGGACCAATCAATTTCAAGGACAGTGCGTACATTATCAGAGTTGTTGTTTTTTGTATGCGTTCCGACCGCAGGTATTGTGGTCAATGTAAACATGACTCCTTGTAAAAAAGG